AGAAAAAAAAAAGCTCATTTTTATTTATTTTTAAAAAAAAATTTTTTAACATTTATTCATTTTTGAGAGAGAGAGAGAAGGAGAGACAGAGTGTGAGTGGGGGGAGGGGCAGAGAGGGAGGGAGACACAGAATTAGAAGCAGGCTCCAGGCTCTGAGCTGTCAGCACAGAGCCCGACACGGGGCTCAAACCCACAAACTGCAAGATCATGACCTGAGCTAAAGTCAGATGTTCAACCAACTGAGCCACTCAGGCACCCTCCAAAAAACTTCTCATTTTTAAAACCTATTATCTATACAACCTCCTCATTTGCACAGGGAGTCAGAGTATGCATGAGTACTGTGCCTAGCAGACATCCATGAGGTATGTTGAGTTCTGATGTCTTGTGTTTTGATTGTTTGGCTTTTGAATTTTTTTTAATTTATTTATTTATTTTGAGATGAGGGGGGCAGAGAAAGACAGGGAGAGAGAGAGAACTCCAAGCACCCTCTGCACTGATAGTGACGCTGGCCTTGATTTCACGAACTATGAGACCAGGACCTGAGTCAAAATCAAGAGTCGGACACTTAACCGACTGAGCTACCCAGGCACCCTGATTATTTGACTTTTAATGCTTGTGGCAAGTAAACAAAATGTCACCAAATACTAACCTGGGACCTGCTGTATGCCAAGCCGTGTGATAGGGGCTAATGACACAGAGGTGAAGAAGATGGAAAGAACCAGGTCTTCAGAGGGCTTCAGGCCTTGGGGGGAAATGCAGACCAGCAAATTCCAGAGCTGCTGTGATGCATACACACTCCCCACACCCAAGGAAAGAAGGAATTCAGACAGTTTGGTCCTAGCAGCGAGGAGCGTGCTAGCAGCAGAAAGAGCACATGCAAAGGCTCACAAGTGAAAGGGTTCAGCATTCTGGGAAGTTTAGTGTGGCTGAACTAGATGGTAAGTGGGAGCAAGGTGGAGAAGGTACGAGAAGAGTCTAGGAAGGTGCATAAGAGCCAGATCTCAAAGGCCCTTGAAGCCACATTAAGGAATTCAGAGTTTACCCTGAAGGCAATAGGAAGCCACCAAAGGGTTTTTAACTGAGAAATAGTAGCAGTCTTATTTGAATTTTTGAAAAATCACTCTGATTTCAGTAGCAGGATGGATTGGATTGGGAGGAAAACAGGAAAGGAGACCAGCTAGTTGTTTATCTTCTAGTGAAAGTGTCCTAAGCTACAAGAGTACAATGGGGAAGAAAAGAAAAGGACAAATGCAGAAGTTATCTGGAATTAACAGTGGACATGTATTTTTCTCATACCCTTCCCACCCTGTGGACTTTACAGCCAGCTCCTGAAGAGACCACCCTGCAGAGCCAGTGTCCCAGCTGGCTGGGCTTTACTCAGGGCTGTTCAGGCATCCCTGCATCTGGAAAGACTGCCTCACTGACTTCACCCCTCTAATGCAGATCTTCCCTAGAGGGTCAAAGCCAGCTTTTGAAGACTCTTCTGGAAGAGTCTGTCCCCCTAAGAAATTTCTGGTGCCTCTGGTTCTTCTGCACCATACCCCCAACCCCTAATGGTTATGGTGAACTTGTAATTTGTTGTCCAAACCTGAGAGAAGAGGGATCATGACTGATAATTATATGAGGACAATGGGCATTGACCTAGATTGGTCCAGACAAATTGGGATGTATGGCCACCCAACTGATAGCATGAGAGCCATGTATGAAACTGACACCTTGAGTCAAGAGCAAGTGCCCAGAGGGGCATTTCCAGCCCCTAAGTTATCTCTATTTAAAGTAATTTTGGACCTTGAATCAGATCTGAGTTCGAGTCCTAGCTTAGCCACTTATCCTTTCTGAAATTAATTTCCTCATCTAAAAAATATAAATAATGATGACTATCTCATCAGAAATTTGGGATAGTTTTATAATAGGATATTAAAAACTGGGCTATTTATTTCTACCTAAGTTTCAACTGAGGCCCCAACTATTCCCACTTTCCACAGGACATACAAAAGAAGGGAGTGAAAATCATTTCTGCAACCTGTAGCTTAAGGCCCAACCTCGGAGGTCTATGAGTTGAGGCAGGGAATGGCTGGCATCAGCATGGCAGTGGAGCTCAGCTCTCCCCTTGGGAGAAGGGTGAACACGTTTTCCCCTCAGTGTAGGTGACCACTAGCAGACTCAGATAGCTGTCTCCAGAGACTGGGGTCACAGGGGCTGGTGTCTGACACTCTCGTGAATAATGTAAGCATGGTGACTGAGGCAACAGGATAGAAAGAGTATGTGTCCTGGGGCAAGGATGTGGACCCCAGGAAGGGAGAGCCAGCCTGGATCATTAAAAATCCTGGAGAAGATCGCCTGCGGATGACTTCACTGTGGAGGGTAACCTCCAGATGATCAGGGCCTGGAGCATGAAACCTAAAAGACTAGATGGGGTTAGGAGAATGCACTAGCTGCCTGGGAGGTTAGTCCCATGTTCCCAGCAGGGCCTCTCAGAGCCCTTGTTATAGGGAGCCAGCTTTGGACATCTGCCCAGCCAGAAGAATCATATCTGATTGTACCTCTTCTCCCTCTGCCCACCACCCTCTGCGGTCAGAAGGCTCAGCCATGAATTATTCATTAATTCATTTGACAATAACAATAAGAAATACATCAATATAAATGGCATATTTTTATGACATAACTTTATTTTCCAAAACAAACAACAAAATAAGTTAGAAGAGTAGTTTTCTTTCCCATTTTTGTGAATCTCTTTGATATCTGCCTATAGACAGCTGGATCCCTATATCTGCTTCCCTCTTCAATCTGTTTTAATATATATGGGTGTAGCCTCTTGAAAACTACCCTGTACCCTCATGAGTGAAATAGAAGTGAAAGTGAAAAAGGCAAATCAAGTCTCAGTATTATGATGAAAATAGTGTGCTCATGAACTCCTGGTGAGGGTCTCAAAGGTCCCCAGTGATCCCCCCAGACCGTATTTTGAGAACCATTGTCACAGTTTTCCTCCTGCTTCTAATGTCCAAATTTTGAGGATTTACAAAAGAAAGATGTGGTTGTGGAGTACTGCAGTGGTTTTCCAAATTCTTTACATCTATAAATGCCAGGAAAGAGGTACTCTAAGATAAAACGTTTTAGGGTAAAATGGGAATCCTTCAGCATAGTGTGGACTAGCCTCTCAACCCAAGATTTCCAGAGCATATTAGAATGTGTGAGATTCCCCATGAGAGTTTCCACTGAGAATGCACCCTCTGCCCATGGGTCTAACTATTTGACAGTCTTTTAGTAATGTCACCACAAAGGAAGAGAGCCCCCAAACTTTTGGCTAATTCAGCAGATGGAGCCTTGGGTTTCTAGTCAGGGTCAGAGTCAACATTTAGCAGGGACCAATCAGGAAAATAAAAGCATTCCAACCGAAGGGATTTAATACAGGAGACTGGCTACACTGGAGTTGCATTTCATACACACAACTGATTACATAGGTATTAGAACTCAAAGGCAGTTTCTGAAGAGATTAATCATTGCTGACACCAAGGCTAGGGAACAAAAAGGAAGATGGGATTTTACCAGAAGCTAGAGGAAGGCGTGTGACTGATGCTTGAATCTCAAGGTTCCTCGGGTAAGGAACTGTGGCATACACCCAGCTGTGTGTCCTCACTCAGGGTTCGACAGTGGGAATAGGTACCATCAACCAAAACCCTTCAGGACCCCATGTTATTGGTGCCCTGGCTTTCTCTCCTGTGCCAAGGAATACATCATATCATCTGGAAAGAGAGGGAAGTGCTGTAGAAACCCAATTACTCATTGTTTCATAATTCTGCCCTTTATGAGACTTCAACATTTCTTTGCCTTTGCTTCCCTAAAAGCAGAAAACACTGCTGCAAATACATCACCCCATCCCAACTGTGCCTATGGAAAGGAATCCACAGTGGTGGGTATCTTTCCTGCCACAGCCTCTTCTTCTCCGCCCTTCTTGCCATCCTCTAGTTAAGCAGTGTGGCACCCGAGAGGCCTGTTTACAGCTAATTAGATTAGGAGTGTGTTCATCTGGAAAGATATTTGTAGTTCAATAAAGAGAGTGTGAAGAATCACCCTACTGGTTCCGCAGAAACAAAGGTTCTGAGCCTCATTCGGCTGAGGGCAGAAAGCTGGTTTTTCCCCTCCTCCCTCCTTAAACAACCCTAGCTTCTCTCCGAGGTCTCCTAGTAGTCAGATCCAGAATCAGCTTCCCGTGCCACGGGAAAGATCTCAACTTAGAAAGATTGCAAAGAAAAACGAGTGGATTTGAAAACACTTTCGTGCTTTTTTTTTTTTCCTTCAAAGGAAAAACATTCACTGCTTGAGATGTTTTGTTGAGAACGGAAGGGAGGCAGAGAGATCATCAAGGCCAGCATTAGATGCTGCCCTCCTGCCTCTTCCCCATCTGTTCGAAGATTATTTCCAAAATATTAAATGCTGCATTTCACTGAACCAGAATTGCATGACGGGTTGGGGCTGGGGGAAAGAGGAGGGAGAAGAGATTCTGAAATACAATTTCCCAAATGTTTATGTTGCTAGCGAAGGCTGTTGCCTGTACTATTATAAAATCTTAGCACGACCCCCGGCAGGCTGTTGTCTGTAGGGTAAGTAGGCGCAGATTGAATTTCGTGCTGTGTCAAGGACAAAATGAATCCTTAATCTGGCTGCAGAAAATGCATATTCACCCAAGAGCAAAGCGGCTCCAGTCTTTCAAGCCCACATGTGCTTCATTGGACTCTTTGAGATGAGTGTGTAGATCAAGTTTGGTTGACCTTTATTAGCCCACAGACCGCACAGGCAAGTATCAAAGCTCTCACCCTGACTCTCCCTAACCTGCCCTGCTTCCTGCTCTCTGGATTTAACAGTGAGCCCAAAGCTTCCATTAAGCATAAAGGCTGATTTTCATGGTGCACATAAAATATGGAAATTCTACCTCGGCTAGATTCATGTCGACTCCAGAAATACTTAAGAATTAGAGTACTTTATTATTATTATTTTTTCAAGATGAGGAAAGACTGTAGTTCAGTAAAATTGGACAAAATTATATTTTCTGCTCCTCAGACATCTTGCTGGCTAGTAGATTAAAGATGCTAAGCAGTGAGAAGAGAAGCCTCAATTCTAGTTACACTTCATTTATTCTGCCTGAAAAAGAGAGTTGTATTCACCATGGTGAATCCTTTTCTCCAGCAGCTATCAGGCCACAAGAGACAGAATGTTCTATTCCCATTCTCTGTCCACGGGCACAGGCCAGACGGGCTCTTGCCTTGAGGCCGGATCAATGTAATGCCCTTTTCTTCCCACTCAAGGTGAGCGATTGGGGCTCTTACCTGCCAGCAAAGTAGGATGCTGTTGCAGGCTCATTCTTCTGAAAACATTTGTGATCTTAGCCCTCACTGCCTTCTGCAAGAATTAAAAAGACAAACACCCGGTGTTATGAAAAACTATAAGAGGAAATTATTTTAAGCACCGTACTTCTGAAAGGCATTTATAATTACTCAGCCCATATGCCTGCTCTCCCGGCACATTAGATGGAGATTTGCTCAGAGAGAGGCAGCATGAGTCGGTAAACACCTGTGTGATCCAGCGTGCTACGAAGACTAGATGTAATTTCTTGCCCCCTAGTTAATTATATTTACCACTTTGCTTTGCTCTCCCTCAAGTTCCTCAACCATAAACTGGGTCTCATGAAACTGACTCATCATAGGAAAAACATTTAGAGTCTTGAATCAGTTGGGATGTGGAAAGAGGAAAACCCTGGCATTTAGAAATAATTTTGGATGACTGGAATTGATTGCTACACTCCAGTCATTCATTAGTTCATTCAGCTAATTCCCTCCATGCCATTCCTTGGGGTAAAAAGAATGGAGATCACCCAGCCTAGCCAAATGCCTGGCTTCTGAGTTATTTCCTAGGGATTTTCTATTCAAGGCAATGGCTCACAGATTGGTCATATTGGCTAAGCCATAATTCCTAGAAGAAAACCAAGGGGAGCATTCTGAAAGAGAAGGTCCAAAGATTCCAGGGAGAGAAATTGAGGACAGCAACACTGAGCCAATAATTTAAAGACTGATTGATAAAGACCCTGAGCAAAAATAGATCAATAAGGAGCAAAAAGTTCATGTTTGCATGTTGGTAACATATTTGAGAGCCAGAAAGAATAGCAGGTGGGTCAGCCCTTCTTAAAAGACTAGTAATTAATCAAGCAGGGTACAGGTTCAGCTGCTGTAACAAAGAATCGCCAAATTAAGTGACTTAAGATGAAAATGTGGTCTCCTTTCATATAATAATCCAGAGGGAAGCAGTCCAGGGCTGGCAGGATAGTTTGGCCATCCTCAACATGCAGCTTCCACCTCTGGGTTCACAGTGGCTGCTCCTGCTTTGTTCACCTCCCTCCTGTAGGAAGGAAAAAGGACTAAGTGAGGACACACACATCCTCTGGAAGTATTTGACACAGAGGTGGCACGTGTTACTCTCTCACACACCTCATTGTCCAGAACTCAGTCACATGCTCACACTAGGCTGTAACCGAGGCTGGGAAGTACAGCCATGTGCCCAGCTAACACTGTGGGAGTTCTATTATTAAAGGCACAGAAAATAGATAAGGGTGAACAACTCAGGCCATAGACGTGAAAAGCCGGCTCTAACCTCAAGGAGCTTAAAGTCTAGTTGGAAAGATAGATAAACTCACAATTATAATAATTACATTAAGCAAATATTACCATATGTTTACCAAATGCCAGGCATTGTACTTAGTATTATCTCATTTAATACTGAAATGAGGGACCCCTGGGCAGCTTAGTCAGATAAGTGTCTGACTTTTGATTTCAGCTCAGGTTATGATTCCAGGGTTGTGGGATCAAGCCCTACATCAGCATGGAGGCTGCTTAAGATTCTCTCTCTCTGTCTCTCTCTCTCTCTCTCTCTTGCCCACCACCACCCCACTCCCATGCTGGCACTCTGTCTCTCTCTCTCTAAAAAAAAAAAAAAAAGCACTGAAATGACCCCATTATTATGTGTGTTTTATAGATGAAGAAATGAAGACTTAGGATAACTAACTTACCCAAGATAATGCAGTTAAACATGGATCCCAGACACAAACTGAATACATTGGAGCCTAGAGCAGAAGTCAGCAAACTATGACCCTTGAACCTAATGTGGCCCCTCCCTTTTTTTGGTAAATAAAGTTTCAATGAAACACAACATGCACGTCCATTTACATATTGTCAGTGGCTGCTTTTCCACTACAATGGCAGAACTGAGTAGTCACAACAGAGACCAAAGCCCCTTTATACTAAAAAGTTGGCCTACTCCACCCTAGTGCTGGCATGTTAGGTGTAATTAGCTAAGCATGCACAGGGTGTGATGAGAGTGAGAAGAGCACCTCACAAAGGAAGGAGGGCCAAAGAAGTCAGGATTTAGCTAATGCTTGACCAATGAGTAGCAATTGATAAGTAAAGACCGCAGAGTAGGAAGAAGAGCTTGTGACAGGCCTGAAGGTCTGAGTGGCCCACAGGTAGTTGAGTGGGATGTGAGAAGAAGTTGGGGCAGTGGGTGGTGCCATGTGGAGGATGACTTTGAATAGCTACTGTAGCCCAAAGAGCAGTGTTTCCCAAACCGGGCCAGTCACTACAGCCATTTAGGGCACTTATTAAAAATAAATTCTAAGACCCCACCACAAATCTACCCAAACAGGATCCATATCTTAACAAAGCTCCCCAACAAGATTCTAGAATAGACTGCTGAAGATGGTAGGGGGGGTGTGAGAAGGCAGGGACCCTGGCCAGAGGCTGTGGCAGTAACCCAGGACCATCACATGTGCAAGTTGGAAGGATAGAATCAGCGAGGTTTTGTGATAGCTTCTTGGCATAAGGTGGAAGAGGGGAGAGGAAGAAAATGAGATCATTTTTGATGCGCTAGATAGTGGGGAGTGACAGCCCAGTTCTGGCCTGGTCATTAGGTGCCCCCGTGATGGCTTCCCCTGTAGCTTGGCTGTGGACTTTGGGCTTCTAGAGTCTAATGTTTGATGTTACCTCTCAAAAAATGAAAACTACCCCACCCCAGACAAATAGCAGCTTGAATGCTTCAAAAAAATGACCAAACCTTTACAAATGAAGGTATCTGAAGAGTGAAATTTTATGATATGCGTGCCTTGTTGCCTGTTCCTGGCCCTTAGAATAGTTATTTTTTCTGTTTGTGAAAAAATGTGTTCCACTGGCTCCATGAAAGAAAAGGTTGTGATTTTTTCTGCATAGCAGCAGGACACTTTATGAATTTGGATACAGTTCTTCAATCACTCTAGAAATAATGATGGAAGGACTTGAATTTTGTGGAAGAAATCCAACTGCACAATGCATTTTCATTTGGTGTGGGGCGATTAGATAAATGCATCCCTCAACTCATTCATCGAATAAATAAATGATGGGGTTAGACCTTAAATAATAAATAAAAGAAAAGGGGAATGAAAGAGACTAAGAGGAGCTGACAAGGTGAAAAAATAGATAAATAAAAAGAGCTATATTCTGGCAAAATGATGAAAGATTGTTGCCTGCCATTCTGTCCTCTTTATATCTACTGGTCACATTTTGCTAGAAATCTTTATTTGACTTTCTTCACTGCCCCATAAGGCTTTGGACTGGCATAGGGTCAAAGATGAAATGCTATACGTTTTTTACCTGAAAACTACTTATTTAGCTCTTGCTAAAGTTTAAATGTGCCTTCAATAGGTATCATCCCAGGAGCTGAGCAGTTGTTACTGGTCATAACAATAGATAGAGCAATAGAGAACTGGCATATATGCTCCTTGGGTTTGTTACAGGCAGAGTTTGTTGGTCTTCCTTGTATGTAATAGGATGGATTCAGCTGTGGAATTTTGTATATGTTATTGCCAGTGCTTAAACTCTTTCCCCTGCCCCTTTTTGTCTGGCTCCCTCTCAGTAACCTCACAGGATTCACATGGGATAACATTTCTTACAAGATTCCTTTTCAAACCCCCACATATGAGACAGTTGTCCTTTCTATCACTCTGGACTTCCCTATCACTACCACTAAGAGCTAACTTTCATTGAACACTTATAATTCTAAATGGATTATCTTTTCAGACCACCCGATGAGATGGGTGCTGTTATTAGACCATCATATAGACAAAGAAACTGAGATACAGAAGAGTTAAAGAAAGTCTTCAAGGTACCCAGCTGGGAAATGTTTATTTTCTAGACTGTGAGCTCCACAAAGGAGGAACTTACTACTGCTTGGTGCAGTGGTAAACAGAGTGCCTAGCACAGGATGGCATTTGATGTGTTTCTCTCTCTCTCTCTCCCTGTCTCTCTCCTCTCTTCTCTCTCTCTCTCTCTCTCTCTCTCTCTCTCTCTCTCTCTCTCTCTCTCTCTCTCTATGTTTAATGAATTATAGGGCCACCAGGACCTCAATAGGAGACTCGTTTCACTGCATACAGGATTCTAAGGTTTATGAATCAAACTCAGAGTTTAATTACATTCTTGAAATTGTCTATATCAAAGTATTAGCTTATGTGAATGATGCTGCCTGACTGAGTAAAGTCTGAGATTGAGAGGCAGAAACCAGAGGAAATATACTTCCCCTGCTCTCCCAGACCTTCATCTGCCAGCTGCACTGGAAGATAAACCTCCAGATTGGTAGTGGTTCTCTGAGTCTGCCTTTCCCCAGCAGATGTGAGGACAGAACAGACCCTGAGAATATGTGAGTGGGGTGTGTATGTATGTGTCTGTGTAGGCTCACATATCATTTCAGTATGTATCCCAAAAATATTCTGTACTCTTCTGTACTCTTCATAAGGTATGCTTGGCTTCCACATAAGAGAAACAGAGAGGGAAAGATGGCAGCCACTCCTGGATTATCTGTAGATTTCTGGACCTTTTACCCAAAGTAGTATCTGAGAGACCATCCTCTCAGTAGACACCCAGGAAGCCTCATTTTCAACAACTAGCCAATCCAGCTTAGCCAAGTTTGTGATTCCATGAGATTTGGCATCTTAGGGGGAAAGCAAGGACCAGATACAAGGGGTTACTGAAAGCTGAGGTTCTTCTGGCCTGCTCCAAGCCTCTCCCTTCCTAATCCCACCAGCACCTGTGTTCAAATCCGAGCCCCACTACGTACCAGCTCTGTGACCTTGGCAAGTCACCCAAACTCCCTGAGTTCTGTTTGCCACAGTTTTCCTGAGTCCCACATGGCCCAGTCTCTGCACAGAAAATACAGAGTCCTCTGTGGCCCGGGACCAGTGACAAGAGGTGCCACCATAAAATGGGCTTTTTCTAGTATCTCCAAGTAGGTTGAGGCGTGCTCATTTAATTTACTGCTGTTTATCTGAGGCTTGGATGCTTGTTCCTTTTCTAAAAGGTAGTATCCAGCATCTGAGACACGGTAGTTGCTCAAACAGTGTTTGCGGAAGGGACCGAGGAAGGAAGGAAGAAGAAGACTAGCCCCTGCCTCACAGAGTTGTTTGATGAAGTTACACAGTGTGTACAAGTTTCCCGTCTCAGTGCCTGGCACATAGGGGGAATTCATTATTAGTCCTTTCTCTCCTCTGGCCTAAAACACAGTTACCTGGGAAATGTAGCACATTCAAGCATCATGAAGGAATATACATTCATTTGTAGGATTTATTCACATATCAAAGCCTAAAGGAAAGGGACCAGAGCAAGAAAGTTTGTGCGAAGGACAAGGAGGGCCCTTGAAGTTTCATGACTTGGTATTTCTATAAGGAAATGCACTAAGGTAGTGGCGGGAGATAGGAGGGGGGGGGGGGGGCGGATGATGAGACTGAGTCCCAGACAGTGGCCTGAGAAGGCAGGAGGTCATAGACCAGGCCTGTGAGATTGAAAGGTGTAGAAATACAACAGATGAACATAGAGGAAGAGAAGGAAAAATAAGAAAAACCAAGAGGGAAGCAAACTGTAAGAGACTCTTAAATACAGAGAACAAACTGGGAGTTGCTGGAGGGGAGGTGGGGGGGGGGATGGGCTAAGTAGGAGATGGGCATTTAGGAGGGCACTTGTTGAATGAGCACTGGCTGTCATCTGTGAGAGATGCATTACTGGGATCTACTCCTGAAGCCAAGATGACACTGTATGTTAATTAACTTGAATTTAAATAAGTAAATTTAAAATTTTTTCAAAGGAGGGGGAAAAAGGCATAAAGCAGGAGGACAGCCTCATCTAGGCCACCTGCAGGATAGATGAAATAGTGGCAGACCGAGTGGGAGGCTCGTGGTCCCAAAGCTAAACAGCGATCTCTGATTCCTAGGCCTTGAGATTCTTGCTCCATTATCAAAAGACCAACCTAAGAGCTATTTTCCTCTTTGAGTAAAACAACAAAACCTGTCTGCTTTGAGAGTTTAGTTCCTGATAAATAAATTAAAAAAAACTTATTTAACTTATGATATTTTTCATATCTTTTTCCAACAGAAGTTAGCTACAGATTCCTCCAAGTGACTTTGTATTATTTGAAAATAAACAACTTAGATCTAACCCAGTTAACAGTACTATAGAAGGGAATACACTGTACAATTTGTCCATGGCACTGTCGGATAGAGAGGGCTCAAATGGAAACAGTGAAATAAAGGCTCCAAGAATATTCCCTTTATCATTGGAAGACTGGCAGACCCAAATGAACTTCTGGTTGATGCCATTATTCTCTGTCACTTCATATGGTTTTAAGAAACCCAAATATAAGTTGCTTATTGAAGTTAGGGCTTAAAATATTCCCAAATCCAAAGTTTTATATTTACTGAATATGCATTAAAAATGAGAACCAGTGGGCTTTGTCAATTCATGGAAATACACACACACACACACACACACACACACGAGTAATGTTAAAATATTACACAAAAATGGTATATACATGTCAATTATGACATAAAACATTGTGTATCATTGATAAAATCAGAAGAAAATCTGAAGCAATGAGGCAGTTGACTTATCACTCATTGAGTTTCTGATGCTCTTTACAAATTTGGGAAATTTTTCTTGGTAAACATTAAGTCTTTCTACATATGTACATTTAAGGTACATTTAAGACAAGTTTTCTGGGAACATAAATGCTCAAGAGGAATAAGCAGGAGTTGATGAGGGAGATCCTAATTTGCATCTTTCCTGCCTGAAATATCTTGGGTATAATGTTGCGTGAATAAGGCTTTTAGTGTTTAATGTGATATGACTTAAACATTCTCTTTTTGCTAGGGTCTATAAAACCTTTGCTATTAATGGCCATTACTTCTCATTTTTATCTACCAAATTTACTAAGGAAGAAAAAGTATGTTGGGGCTTCTATTTGTCTGCTCAAATGTTTTCTATTATCTGCAATAAAATTCATTCCTCTTAAACCTGGGACAATCCACTTGGAAGGGACACTATATAATCCACCCAAACATGATTCTTTACACAGTGTGGGGCTTCTACTTGTCAAGCTGCTCCCCTCACTGTCCTTTGACCCTCCCAACATTACTGTTAAGGAGAGTAATATTCTACAGCCATCGGAGATACCAAAACTGACACAAAGGTAAAGCCCCTGGTTTTGCACAGCCAAGAATAGTAAAACTTCACCAGAACACCATAAATGAAGTCTGAAACATTTAACCAGGAAAGCACAAATGCATGCTATTTCAAGGTTAATTGAGTGACCAGGACAAACCTATGCAGCTGACCTTCCTGGGCTTTCCAGGACTTCGGCTGTGAGATACAAAGCCACCCTGGTCCCCACTGTGATTCAGCATCAGCTGCCATCTGCTCCAGCTTAAATCCTGGTGGGGATGATTCCAGGACTGGTTGGGGCTTTTTTCAAGAGCAGCAAGAAGTCCAGGATTCTCCCAGATATTTGAGATGAAGGGATTGATCCAGAGAGACTGAATTGAGAGACCCCACTACCCAAGACAAGGCTGCCGGCCATTTTCTCCTCTGTCCTAACTCTCTCTCAACATCTGCTCTCTCCCCCCCCCCCCCCCCACTGGGAAGATAAACACTTTATCACCCACCCCTGACTGAGAATGGGCCTGGATAGACTATGGAACCCATTTCCAATGTGTCATATCCAAACCGTGGAGTTTCACTGTCTTTGTAGAGCCAGACACAGAAGTAGAGCTTCTGCATTTTTAGAGTAAAGCCTTTCCCAACTTGGCTGGCACGCTTCAGAACTGCCATCCCCTCCGTTACTGCTCCAGGCTGCAGAGAGCATCAGGCACACCTCCCTGCCAGCAGGGTTCCTGTCTAACTCCCTATGAAAGAGAGAGCAGGCCCATCCCAAATCAGAAGCCTAGTTCCGTGCCCAGTTCCCCAAATCTGGGGTTGTCATGATGCAGAGGACTGAGAAAAAGGAGAGAGAGAGAGAGAGTGTGTGTGGTATTGGGGAGTGTTGTATTGTTCCTTTAACTCTCAATATGCTCTATAGGCTACTGACTCACTTAACACAGCTCACGTATTCTGTCTACATATCACAAGCCACCTGCTTATTCACTATCTCTGCCTAACAAGTCTTATGAGTTTCATCCATTCTGTTTACTTTTCTTGTCTTCTCTGGAAGAATTGAATATTCTCAAATCCTACAGCAAACACACATTGTAAACAGAAAGACCTAGGGAAAAAATAAGATTAAAAAAAAAAAAACAACAGAGAAGACACTTGATTTATAGTGGCAGGAGGAACAGAAACCAAAGCAGAGAGTATCTGACTCACAATAATGGTGGCGTTTTGAGCAGAAAGTGGCGGGTGCCTCCTGCTAAGGGGTGACAAAGTGCCAGTCACTGGAACTGCATGGTGCTTCAAGATTCATCAGGAGCCTCTTTTCCATCGCCTGTTTCTGCTCCTTAGATAGAGATAAACCATAATTGACACATTATTATTATTTTATTAATACATAATTATTATAATGATTAATGATAATACATTATTTTGTTGCTAACCAGCATAGTTAATCCCAAGAAGCCATCCTTTCCGGTCACCTCTCTTCCACTTCCTGCCCCCACTGTGCTGAAAATCACCCTTGGGATAAGAATAAGGATGGGGTCCTTGGGATTGACATGTGGAAGGAGAAAGTTCACAGAGCCAAGGAAAACAGGGCAAGGCACCACAGGACAACTGCTATGTGTGAACTTATTTGTTTGTTACATGACTTATTTTGAGAAGTAAATGAACACAGTAGAAGGTCGTATCTTGGACCTCTGAATAAGAATGATAAGAACTGCAAGCAAATTGTCCAGTTCAGACCATGCCATAGTTTCCTTGGACCACTGCAACAAAGTATCACACACTGAATGGCTTTAATGTTCACACAGTTCTGGAGGCTGAAAATCTGAGATCAAGGTGTCAGCAGGATGTTTCCTTCTGACAGATCTGAGAAAGAATCTGTTCCATGCCTCTCTTCTAGCTTCCAGTGATCACTGGCGATCCTTGGTGCTCCTTGACTTGTTCTTTGACTCCAGTTTCTGCCTCCATCATTACATGGTCTTGCCCCTGTGTCTCTGTGTCTCTTCTTCTTCTTCTTGTGAAGAGACCAGTCATAGTGCATTAGGGACACATCCTATTTCAGTATGACCTCATCTTAACTAATTGCATCTGCAATGGCCCCCTATTACAAATAAGGTCACATTCTGAAATGTCGAGGGTTAGGCCTTTCACATGCCTTTTTGGAGGACACAATTCAACCCATTACAGTCCACAGTTGAGAAATAAATTTTATTTTATTTTGAGTACTCATTCTCTATATGATGGTAGGAACCATCACACCCTGACACTAGGAAAACTACTTGAGTTTTGAGTTTTTCCAAGTTTAAAGAATGATGGTAGATTCATAACCATTGGCAACCCTATTCTGAACACATATATAATGTTCATCTATAGATAGCTTTAGGTATAGATATAGATATAGATATAGATATAGATGATATAGATATAGATAGATATAGGCATAGATACAGATATGATATAGATGTCGATAGGTAGCTCACAAGGTGTTAACAGTGGTTACCTCACAATGATTATCTCTTAAGGGGAAGTGATGAGAGACTTTCTCTATTGTAAATTATTATATATTTGAGTTCTATAACAAATAAGTATACTTTGTAATCAGAAAAAATAATAATGATACATTTTCAAGTGGTTAATGAGAGAGAAGTGTGGCTTTTCCTTCCCTCATAGCCTCCACATTTAGGTTCTCTTTAGGAGACAGGATAAGGATCATCATAAGTAACATCATAACTAAGGAAGCAAACAGGGGAAGGGCCATATGCAATTTGAAAACTTGTATTCTGTGCTACAATTGCTTTGATAGGATTTGCCTTTAGACATTATCCTTAGTTTATTTTTCATTTTAAAATAAGCATTAAAGGAAGACCCAAGGTTTTCATGTGTATCCAAAGGAGGCATAGGTTTTCAATGTTGAGAAGCCCAAGGGCACATGGAGGAGAAGACATTACGTACCTGAGATAAACTGCTTCCTGCAACCAGGCATTGAGGCTTCCTGTCAGCCAGGGCAAAAAGGAAGCATTGGATTTCAGAGTGTGTATCCAAACTGAGATTCCCTGGTAAAATACAGGACACCCAGTTAAATTTGAACTTCAGATGCATAACAAACAACTTTTTAAGTGTAAACATGTTCCAAACATTGCACAGGACACACTTATGCCAAAAATTATTCTTTGTTTACCTGAAATTCAATCTTTTGTGTACTATTTTTTTTTAATTGTGATAAAATACTTGCAACATAAAATTTATAATCTTACCCACCTTTAACTGTACAGTTCAGTAGTGTTAAGTATATCACGTTGCTGTGCAACCAATCTCCGACACTTTTTCATCTTGCAAAACTACAACTCTGTACCCATTAAATGGCAGCTCCTCATTCTACATCCACTCCCAGCCCCTGGCAACCACCTTTCTACTTTCTGTGTCTATGAATTTGACAGCTCTAAATATCTTCTATAAGTGGAATTATACAGTATTTATCTTTTTATGAAACTGGTTTATTTCACTTAGCATAATGTCCTTAAGTTTCACCCATCTTTAAGCATGGGTCAGAAATCTCCTTCTTCTTGAAGACTGAATAATATTCCATTGTATATAGACACCACATTTTGGGGTTTTTTTGTGGGGTTTTTTTGCTTGTTTTAATTTTTTTAATGTTTATTTATTATTAAGAGACAGAGAGTGAACAGGGGAGGGGCAGAGAGAGAGGGAGACACAGAATCTGAAGCAGGCTCCAGGCTCCGCGCTGTCAGCTCAGAGCCCCACGCGGGGCTCAAACTCACAAACCGCAGGATCGTGACCTGAGCTGAAGTCGGACGCTTAACCGACTGAGCCACTCAGGCGCCCCGGTTTTGTTTTTAAGACTATTTATTTTTGAGACAGAGAGACAGAGCAGGGGAATGGCAGAAAGAGAGAGGGGACAACACAGAATCTGAAGCAGGCTCCAGGCTCTGGGCTTTCAGCACAGAGCCCTACATGGGGCCCAGAATCCATGAACCGTGAGATCATGAATTGAATTGAAGTCAGATGCTTAACCAACGGCACCCCATACATTTTGTGTATTGAAACTCAAATTTAACTGGGCATCCTCTATTTTTATTTGCTAAATTTGGCAACCCTATTCTGAAAACATCAGTCTAGATAAGCTTTTTCTAGAAATTAGACCAGAGTAGAGGTTTATCCCAGAGGGCATTTATAAAAGGAATAATAAGGGGACATAGCTGGCAATGTTTTTTCTCTATGATTTTGCACAAGCCATAGAAACATGGTTCAAATCAATCCTGGTTTTGTCAACACTCTGTGTCAGGAGTTCTTGAACCCGAGACTGTGTAAGAGATACAGGGGGTATGTGAACCCCTTGAAATCATAGGCCGTGTTGAATATATGTGCATCTTTGTGAGGAAAGAAACCAAAATCAGATTCCCAAAGGTGCCTGAGACTCCCAAGGAGGTCAGGAGACACTATCTTATTGACTGAGGACATGGCTTTGAACTCAGGGAAGGCATTCTTGCTGGGGGCTTGGGAATTATTATTGTTTGGGCAGTTGATTTCCTGAATATCTAAAATAAATATGGAGAAAATCTCAGCAAATTTAAGAGTGGAAAGTTTACCCATCTACTGAAGCATCCCTTTCAAATGAGGGATGAGTATAAGCTGCCACGCATTTCGCATCTTTCACAGAAGCTGAATGGAAGCCAGTTCATGAGTGATGCTGATCTTTGTGGAGTCCCTGATGATTGAGTGGCATACGCTTTATATACCAAAGCCTCTTAAAGAAATAGATTAAGAAAAAGAGAGTGAGAAAGACAGAGAACACCACCTAGGCAATGGATAATGTTACTACCTGTAAAAAACAAATGACCATTTTTATAATCACCACTTTATGTTTTCTTTAGAAATCCTTCATCGATTTACCAACAGCTCTTACCAATGAGCTCAACTGGCCCCAAATCTCTGGTGCTACTGGGTTTCTGGACTCCATTAGTGGGTATGTATGTTTGAGTACCTTTAAATTTTTCAACGTTTATTTATTTTTGGGAGAGACAGAGCATGAACGGGGGAGGGGCAGAGAGAGAGGGAGACACAGAATCGGAAACAGGCTCCAGGCTCTGAGCCATCAGCCCAGAGTCTGACGCAGGGCTCGAACTCCCGGACCGCGAGATCGTGACCTAGCTGAAGTCGGACGCTTAACCGACTGCGCCACCCAGGCGCCCCTGTTTGAGTACCTTTAAACATTTCAACATATCTATGTAAGGAAAGAACAAGAGATGGGGCTTGCTCCCAAGATGTTGAAACGAGAATTATTAGGAATTGCTTCTAGAACATGAGTAACATACAAGAAACCTACCACTGACATAGAGTCCACTATGCAGGGGGATGTAATGCAAATTGAATTTTATCAGTGTTCGCAAGGAGGGAATATTCTCATTGCAGGGGCTGTAGAGTTGACCTCTAGTGGGTAAGACATAAACGCATCACTGACTATTTCTCATTCAAGGAACAAGAAAGTTTACTTGATTATTTACTCTCAGAAATTAATATCCATAAAGGTAATGGCTAAAATTAATAGGCAAGTCTCAAGGTCCTGGAATCACCCTGGCTTCAATGCTCTGGATTTGAAGGTAGAAACAATGTATGGCAAATCTGAGTGACACACAAACCCAATTTGCTATGTGTGATTGGGTGTTTACTCAGAGCCTGGGGGCAGCCATTCATAGGTTAGCACCCCATTTTTTTATTTAATGGAGGACATTATATATCATAAATAAATTATTTGATTATTACCTTATTGTCTTCACTCATTCATCTAAAAATACTTACTAAATACTTACTACCTAATCAGGAATATATGCTACAGATGTTTCAAAGGTAAATGGGGTTTGACCTGTCTCTGCAACCAATTAAAATCAAATAGGGCAGATTAGACAAATGTACAAATAATGATAATACAAGAAAGATGTGCCACAGACAACTCTCAACACAGAGCTACAGATTCATTGAAGAAATAATTCATAGAATTAGTCAATAGCCTCTTCCTTTTGGGGTGTCAGGCCAGGGGCCCAAACCCTAAAGGATTTACAAGATTGGTGTAATGAAAGAGGTAGAGAAAAAACAGGAAATGATAACCAATCTTCAGGAAAGGGCATTGATAATAATGTAGGAATCATCTGTGAATATAGGGAAAGCAAAGGGGATGCATTTTCAAGTTTAGGTGTATGTTTTCAAGTTTAATCACATGAAAAATGAGGTTAGTGTAATAATGTTAACAGTATCAGTGATAGGGAGAGCAAGAAGTAACCTTCATGAGACATTCACTGTATGCAAATCACTACCCTGAGTGTTATGTAGAGATTTTTCTCATTTCATCTCTTTGTGAGGGAGCTAGCATTAATTTCTGCATTTCACACTTGAGGAATCTAAGGGTTACATAGACAGGTTAAGAAACTTGACCAGGGACCCACATTAATGTGAAATGGTGGGATCTGTCATCATGGAACACTATACCAGAGAGTAATTTGGTGAGCAGGGGTCCTCCTGGTCCCCAATGCCCAAACTTTATGATTTTTTTTTCATTCTACCTGCAGGAATGTTGCTCTCTGTAGTCTTTGTCACTTTGAGAGAATAGCGATGGGATGGAGAAATGACTAAGAATTAGAGAAGCCCTCTCCATGGGGAGACATGGCATGCATTGTTTCAAAGGTCAATCAGGGGCTCCCTTTCTATGGGCCCCATACTCCCGGTGGTCTGGGGCCCCCTGAGCACCAGGCTTAGCCTCTCTTTCTTCAGCTGCACTTGCTATTGTTTTTGTCACCTGGAACACATCCAGAGATAGCCAAGCTGAAGCAGCTTTCTGGAAAAAAGACTCTTACCTATCTCCCCACTGTCAACACTGAAAGTGAGAAAACAAAATTTAACTGGCTTCCACCAATCCAGTACAAAAACACCTGGAGATTTCTCTAAATTAAAGCTTTTATGACAACAACAAAGGAATACATTATGAATGAGAAATGGATATAGTTTATTACATTTTTAATGGAAGTTTAACTTTATGTTGAACCCTATAAAATTCAGCCACCTTTTGACCTAAAGCTTCACAAGGTTGCCATTGAGGAAATACCAGTCTGATGTTTAAAACAATTGCCAATGGGGCGCCTGGGTGGCTCAGTCGGTTGAGCGACCGACTTCGGCTCAGGTCATGATCTCATGGTTTGTGTGTTCGAGCCCCCGTGTCAGGCTCTGTGCTGACAGCTCAGAGCCTGGAGCCTGCTTCGGATTCTGTGTCTCCCTCTCCCTCTTCCCCTCCCCCACCCATGCTCTGTCTCTCTCTGTCTCAGAAATAAACATTTAAAAAAATAAAATAAAAAATAAAACAATTGCCAAGTAGTTTAAATCTTCCTTGGAGTCATCCAAAGAGTGAAAGAAGAATCCACTCAGCAGGGCCCAGTTGAAGGGAAAACTGGTTTCCTTATCTCTTCCACTTATAGCTCACACTCACCAACAGTTGCCCCACATCTCCTACATCTAATTTTCCCAAAAACTCTGCCCCAAAATAGCTCCTGCTCCCAAGCAGGCTGTTCAGTTGTTTTTAGATTTTAGTGAGGGGGTGACAGGGGGAACCAATGTCCTTCTGTGTCTCTTCTGTCCTCAGACTAGGGGTTTGCTCCCTTCTCAGTGTGGAATCCCACTAGCCCTCCAGTCCCATGGCTGCATCCACCACCATCCTATCAGAGCCCAGCAGCAGACAGATGCCCATAGGAGAAAGGCAGTGGGGAGAAAGGGAGAGGAGAGTTGCCAGTCTTTAGCCACTCAGGGTTTATAATCCTTATAAGGGCTGTGCAGAGACATTCTAACACCATCTCACAAAGGAGGTGACTGGCTAGGTGTGCGTTAGGTGAAAGTCATCCCTATCCTAAGCTAGTTGGTGCTGACTTAGCACCTTCTTGTATCAGGCTCTGTGTTGCCATTTACAAAACTTCCATCTGGTTCTGCAACTTACTCATCACTGACTCCAGGTACTGTCCTTATCTGTTGTGTTTCTAAGGATGTGCGCAGCACAGCTGGCATGCTGTAGGGTCACATACCCTGCAAGGGCTTTTCTCTCTATGTGTTTGTGGGGCCCCAGGCTATCTAGTCGTTTCTCTCCAAGAGCTCTTTCTGCCACCTGTTTGTGTGTACTATGCCTGTGTTCTTTGCCACCCAGCTGGAATGGGGGAAATATATTCAGTTCCTTTTGACAGAAAAGGAAATTCTCTGAAATCTGAGTTGTAGCAGATTCCGCCAGTAAACAGACACATAGCAGCATGATAGTCATGTGTGTGTCACCATTCAAGACATCCCTCCCAGCAGTAGGTCCTGTTAAACCATTTCTATAATCTCATGCAAATTATATACTGCAG